AAAAACCACAAAAACACTCCCCCTCCCCCCCAAAAAACCCACAAAAAAACCACCCAGGGTTTATATAAGACATCCTGACGTCTTTAGCTAAGTGAAAAACGTCTCAAAAACTGGATTTTATTACACAAAACCAAACATTGCTATACTACGGATACGAAACAAGTAATGTACATTAACTAAAACAATATCTACGCTTTGGGAATTTGATGCTGTGAGTTAATAAGGCTGGATGATAATTTACTTGTTGAGGTAAAGTGAGAAGGATGAGACAATATATAACCAGCAAAGGTATGAACACAATTTCTGCTACATTCCTGGTGCAAGAATTTTATATGAAATGGCTGTTACCGTTCGTTAACACAGCATTAATCAAATCTCCAAAAACCCTGATCATACTTTGTGTCCAAATTTAAGAACAGATTATTGAATGAACCTACAAGCAGAAGGCTCGAAAGAATCGATTAGTTTACGCTTATACTATCATTTTACGCTTGACAAACAACAATAATATGTTATATAAAATAATACGGGTGGCTGCTATATGGCAAGTAAAAAGCAGGGATTGGTAAAATGATATGTGTATATCATTGTTGTTTTCGGGAGGTATTAAATAATATTCTCTCAACTCATGAAATGACTGAGCATAGTATTTATTTTGCAAGTTGTAGCCTTTAGAACAACCTCGTATTAAGCTCCATCTTGAATGCACCCTTACAATGGGTTTGAGATTCATATTCACACCTTTAAATCACCCAATCGACAACCATACAAAACTTTTGGACAACATTGTGTCAAGCTCCACCTTGAACGTACCCTTACAATGGGTGAGAGTCTCATATTTACACCTGTAAATCACCCTAAAGACAAACCTTGAAATACTTTTGGACAACATAATGTTAACTTCCACTTTGAACGCACCCTTACAATTGGCTAAGGAAAAAGTTTTATACCTGTTAATTACTCGATCGACAAACAATACAATACTAACTGATCCCTCTGCCCTAATGACATAACGATGTGGTTTATGTCCATACTATCTATACACTTAGAACCCTAATGTCTCATTATGGTCAACACTGTACGTGTACACAATGGTCTATTAATCAATGCATACGAGCGTAGCTGCGAGAAGAGATGTGATCCAGGAGGGTTATCCCTAAAGATGGCCAATGGGCCCTGACAACGAGTTTTCTTTATCCCTTAAGACCCCCCCCCCCTCCTACTTTCTCCCCATCTCTCTCATACTTCTCT